TCATGGTATCAGAGCTCCAAGAAGCTCTCACGAGCAATTCTCCAGATTCGTCTATGGAGTCCTCTGCTATTCCTTCAAACCTCAATCTTCTGTTATCGAATCTCAGTTCACTTGTAACAGTGAAGTTGGATAGTTCAAATTTTGTTATTTGGAAGAATCAAATGCAGAATCTGCTTCGAGCAACAGATCTACTTGCCATTGTTGATGGCTCAAAGCAGTGTCCTGTTGCCACAGTGCGACAATCTGCAGGAATTGAGATTCCAAATCCAGAAGCTGTTAGATGGAAGATGATTGATGCGCATCTAGTCAGCTGCATCACTGCTACTCTCTCTCCTGCGATTTTCACTTCTGTGTTACATCTTCACACCAGTGCTCAGGTCTGGCAATTTCTTGATAAACGTTTTACCTCTCTCTCTAGGTCTCATATCCACCAGTTAAAGAACAAATTAAGTTCTATTGCAAAGAAATCCGACTCCATGGAAGTGTATTTGAGCAAAATCAAAAGCATTGTTGATCAGTTGAATATTGCTTCATCATTTGTAGAAGATGAGGATATTGTTCTTCTTACATTAAATGGATTGCCTTCTGAATATGATGCAGTTAAAATAGCTATTCGAACTCGTGCAGAGTCCATTTCTATGGAGGAACTTTCTGCTCTACTCTGTTCAGAAGCTATTCACATTGAAGGAAAATTAAAACAAAATTCTGATCTTACTGTTGCTTATGCAACTGTGAAAGATTCTAATACTTCTAGAGGATTTAACTCTTATCATAATAACAGAGGTTCTTCTCGTGGTGATTCTAGAGGTTCACATAGAGGCACTCGCTTCTATTCAGGAAGATCCTCTCGTGGCAGATCTCAAGGAAGAGGACAATTTGGCATTGTTTGTCAAATCTGTGGTAAAGCCAATCACACAGCTCTTGACTGTTGGCATCGGCTAGATCCTCAATTTCAATCTTCACAAGTGTCTTCATCACAGCAATCAAAGCCATATCAGTCTTATTCTCAGCCGTATCAGTCTCAGCAGTCAAAGGCATATGTTACATCTTTAACTGAGGACAATGATTCTTGTTCTCCCTGGTTTTTGGACTCAGCTGCTTCTGATCATATCACTAATAATCTTCATCAACTTAACTCCATTCAACCCTACACTGCTAGTGATCAAGTCACTATTGGTAATGGCTCTTCCCTTCCTATTACTCATATAGGCCAAGGTATACTACCTACTCCTCACCATTCTTTCAAACTCAACAAAATTTTGCATGTTCCCTCTATTAACTCTAATCTTGTCTCTGTGCATCACTTGGCTAAAGATAATAACTGTTCTATCACATTTGATCATTCTTCCTTTACTATTCAGGACAAGCTTTCCAAGGCCATCCTCCATAAAGGTTTTTATGCCAATGGACTATATCATTTTCACACTCCAACCACTGCTTCCTCACATGCCTACCGTAGTTCAGTTACGTCTGCTGCTTCTGCTGCTTCCACTAACATTTGGCATCAGAGATTAGGCCATCCTTCTACTCTTAAGTTTCATTTGCTTAAGCACAAATTACCTCTGTCTGTAGCTTCCAATAAAAGTACTTTTTCTTGTGTACATTGCTCTGTAGCCAAATGTCATCGGCTACCTTTTACACTGTCTAATTCCACTGTAAATAATCCACTAGCTTTGATTCACAGTGATGTATGGGGTCCGTTTAATAAATCTGCTTCTCCTTACAAATACTATGTGTTGTTCATTGATGATTTTACTAGATTCACTTGGCTTTATCCTCTTGTTTATAAAAGTGACGTGTGTGCCAAATTTATGGAATTCAAAGCTTTTGTGGAAAAACAGTTTGGTTTTTCTCTCAAAATCCTTCGTAGTGATGGAGGTGGTGAATACAAGAATTATCCTCTTCAACATTATCTTTACACTCTTGGCATTCACCATCAGTTTTCCTGTCCACATACTCCCTCTCAAAATGGAGTGGCTGAGAGGAAGCACTTACATCTTACTGAAACTGCTATTTCTCTTCTTCATCAGTCCTCTATGCCACTTCTTTATTGGTTTGATGCCATAGCTGCTGCCACATATTTGATTAATCGTTTACCTAGTGTTTCTCTTAATAATTGCTCTCCTTTTGAGTTGCTATATCATACTGCTTCTGATTACTCTTTACTCAAAGTCTTTGGTTGTCTTTGCTTCCCCTGGCTTAAACCTTATGCTTCTCATAAGTTGGCTCCTAAGTCGACTCCTTGTGTTTTTCTAGGATATCATCCTAGTGTTAAGGGCTATAGATGTTTAGACCCTCAGACAGGTCACATTCATTTATCTAGACATGTTACTTTTCGTGAACATGAATTTCCTTTTTCCTCTTCTACTGTTGTTTCTTCTGTTTCTTCTCTTCCTCTTTTACAGGATTTCTTTTGGTCACCCTCTTCTCAGCATAGTTCTTCTCCGTCTACATCTGCACCACCACAATCCTCATCACAGTCACAGTCTACATCTGCCCCGACACAGTCCTCTTCACAGCCTGCATCTCCTTCAGTACAGCCACAATCCTCTTCACAGCCTCGGTCCTCTACTCTGGCACCATCTGTCCAGTTTGCACAGCCAAGCTCTGCCTTGTCTCCTTCTGATCCTTCACCACCTGCACCTTCTTCCCATCCATCCATTCCCATTAATTCTATTTCTGTTGTTTTACCTCTTCCTCCTCCTGTTGCCATCAATTCTCATCATATGCAAACCCGATCCAAATCTCATTCTACTTGTTTCTCTTCTACTCGTACTTCTTCTGCTGGCTCCTCTCCTTCTCCTGATATTGAGCCTATCTCTTATCACTCTGCTCTTGATTCTCCAGTCTGGCTCCAAGCCATGCTAGATGAATATGCCGCTCTTCAACATCAGGGCACATGGTCTCTTGTTTCCTTACCCCCTTCCAAGCAAGCTATTGGGTGTAAATGGGTCTTCAAAGTTAAGAAGAATTCTGATGGCTCCGTTGCTCGGCACAAAACCAGACTAGTGGCTAAGGGTTTTCATCAGCAACATGGTATTGACTTTCATGATACCTTTAGCCCTGTGGCCAAACAACCCACAATTCGCATTTTTATCTCTTTAGCTCTTCACCATCATTGGCCTCTCAAACAACTTGACATATCTAATGCCTTTTTACATGGCACGTTGGATGAAGAAGTATACATGGAACAACCTCCTGGTTTTGTGGATCCTTCTCAACCTACTCTTGTTTGCAAACTTCACAAGGCGCTTTATGGTTTGAAACAGGCTCCTCGGGCCTGGTACTCTACTTTCTCCTCTTTTCTTCTCTCTCAAGGATTTGTTCAGAGTCGTTGTGATTCTTCTCTCTTCATTCATTCTACCTCTTCTTCAATTACCTTTCTTCTTATATATGTCGATGATATACTTCTTACTGGGTCTGATCCGTCCTATCTTAAATCCTTATTAACTCAAATGCACCATGCTTTTTCCATGAAGGAATTAGGCGATATTTCCTATTTCTTAGGTATTTCTGTTCAGTCCACTGCTCAAGGTTTCTTTCTCTCCCAGCAGAAGTATGCCTCGGAGCTTCTTCTTAAAGCTGGCATGACTACCTGCAAGCCTTGTGCTACACCTACCTCAGCAAAACCTTCTCTTCCTGCTGCTGATTCTCTCCCATTCTCTCAACCTTTTCTTTTTCGCAGCCTTGTGGGTGCCCTTCAGTATCTTACTATAACTCGTCCTGAGATCTCCTATGCTGTCAACCAAGCCTGCCAACATATGCATGCCTCTACTGTGGCTCATTTTTCTGCTGTTAAACGTATCTTACGTTACATTAAAGGTTCCCTTTCTCATGGTCTTCTCTTTGCTCCTGGTTCTTTTCATCTCACAGCTTACTCTGACTCCAATTGGGCTGGGGATGCCACTGACCGCCGTTCCACCTCTGGTTACTGTGTGTTCTTGGGTTCTAATCTCATTTCGTGGTCCTCCAAGAAACAGTCCACTGTGTCTCGCTCCTCCACCGAGGCTGAATATCGGTCCTTAGCACACACTGCTGCAGAACTCACTTGGTTGCAAATGCTTCTTGCTGATTTTCACATTCCTCAACCATCTCCACCTGTTCTTTGGTGTGACAACATGTCTGCCTTATCCTTGGCTGCTAATCCGGTCTTTCATAGCCGCTCTAAACACGTTGAAGTCGACTGTCATTTCATTCGTGAGAAGGTTGCTCGTCGCCAGTTCTTTCTCAAATATGTTCCTTCTTTGGATCAATTGGCTGACATCTTCACCAAGTCTCTGTCCACTGCCCGTTTTTCGTTTCTCACTTCCAAGCTTCGTGTTGGTCTTCCCTCTCTCAACTTGAGGGGGCATGATAAGGCAGAGGTCCAAGAGGTGCATCAATCTCAAGTGTAATGTCCTGCAGCTCTAGACAATATTTTCCTTCACCACTTGTAACAGATTCAGTTAGCTTAAACTGTAGATTAGTTAGAATTGTGGTTAGTTAGCTTGTGACAGTTTGGAACAGTAGTTAGTTAGAAGTATGGTTAGGTTAAATCTTTTGTTCACTGTACTACTGTATAAATATGATTTGTAATCTCTTGTTTTGAATTCAAGGAAGATATTTTAGATTTTAACTTTACCTTTCATCACTGTGTACTATATGTGGTTCATATCTAATTGTCCTTCGTACATCACTTCATGTTGTTGCATGTGTGAATATTAAATAATAATACGATACAAAATAAATGTATATTTATATGCATGCTGCTGTTTGGTTTTCACAACTACCGAAACCGAATCACTATGTACATTCATATTCGGGAGGTTGAATTTCTCAGTTTAATACTGGCATACATATAGACATTCAATTTGATTTCTTGAATTGTCCATTATTTTTCTGAAAGTGCTTGATTGTAAATTAATATCACTACAAGAAAACTGGGCAAATAACACAGAACTTTTTGCGACGGCGTGTATACCGTCGCAAAAAGTGGTCTTTTGCGACGGTATACACCAGACAAGGATCATGGCTGGGCTTCTTACTCCAGACAAGGTATTTACCTTAGCACGTTTTTCAGATTGGTTATATATTTTACATATTGTATTAATTTGTTTCTATAACTTAATAAAGCACCTCTCAGATTTTCTTACATAGACAATTTTTCATTTTTACTTTTTTAATGAGCAGGGCGAGGTTTTCATTCGAGGAAGAAGAAGACATGGTTTAATCAGCGATGATAATCTCGGACTGTCACTTTTGGCCAATGACTGTTGAAATATTGGTATAATTGTATAAGATTATTGAGGCTTTGTTAGGGTTCTCCAAACTCTGCTTTTCCTAAATTTCCAAGGTTAAGTGGTTTTGGAAAAAGGTGAATACATGTTTCTTTCTAAATTCTTGTCGTTCCTCTAATAGCTATTTTGGCTCAGATTTCTTGCTGTAGAAGCATTAAGTTTTCATTTGATCTAATTTCAGGGATAATTGTGACTTCTTGTGGTTGTAAATAGCTTAATATTTCCATTAATGTACCTTTGTTTGGTTGTTTTTCTGCTGATACAGTTTCTGATTAGAAGTTTATTCACTTGAGCAGGAATAGTGATGGTGATTCAGTAGCTAAAATGAAGGCCGCTGAAGATGCCCTGCAAGAAAAGGAGAAGGTAATATTTTTTTGGGTCTGCTACCTGCTATAAGTTGTAGCATTATTTGATTATTTGAATAATTTTTTCGTCCATAAGATAGGACATCTGCAGGGGCAAAGATTAGCCTTAAATTTTTTTTATTTTTTTATTTCATTTCTCTGAGTTTTCAACTTTATGATATTGCATGTATTTGTTTGGATAGATTTGATGTTTCTGCATGCATTCTGTTGCCTTATAAGTTAACTGTGATTTGCAGAAAAAACCTTCATTCGAGCTCTCTGGGAAGCTTGCTGCGGAAACTAACAGAGTCAGAGGTGATAATCTAATTGCCTTCATTTTAGGATAATGAATTTCATTTTGTTATTCACTTGGCTGAAGGGGCACTCTTAAATAGAGCTGTGAACATGTTGATTTGTTGGTGTTAATAAATGCTATACTGCATTTTGATGATTAAGGGGTGATCTCCTGCTTTCCATCATTTTGAATATGGCTACCTGAATATTGAGATATATCTTTTTGATTTTCTCAATCTGTTGCTTTGCTTGTATTACCACATGTTTTTCCTAGCTTATGACCTCAGTAAATTTCCATGGCAGTGACTGACACGTACTCACACATAGTCCTTCGAACATAGTATTTATGTGCTGCACCGGAATGGGCTGGCCCTTTCTAAAAGTTTCCCACACAATTTAGAAAGCTATTTTTGTAATATTTTTTTCAATATTTTGTCTTGGGAAGAAAATTTTCAAATATTGCTCTAAGTGAATATATTACATTTATGAAAGTTGTTGTTTAATTCTATCATCACTTTATGAGCAATGAATTTGTAACTTAATTATGTGATCTTATGTGGTTTGGACTATGCTATGATTTGTTAAACATGTTAGTAATGTTTCAGAATAACTCCATTATTGGTTTTTGGTTGGGCAGCCCTTCTCCCCCCAACATTTCTATTCTTGTAGATTCACATCGTACCTACAATGTCAATTGAAACAAATTGAATTGCTCAAATGGGGATTTGGAGCATCTGTTGTTAGAAGTGATGGTCACATGAGCTTCTACATATCCTTGTTATGTCTTTCGTACTTTTCTTAATTAGATGTTACTTTGCATCAGGTGTGACACTGCTGTTCAATGAACCCCCAGATGCTATCAAATACTTCATTTCCAATAATCATTCATTCATGGATCTCTCATTTGATTATGCAACTGAATTTGTATGGATTTCATGGCTAAAAATGCTCTTGCCACCATTGTAGTCCCTATTGTAAAAACAAAGAGATGGATTCTATGTACCCTAGAAAGTAGATTGAAACTTTTTAAAATTTCATTTTCATCATTTGCAGTGGGTTCAATTTTTATAAGTCAACAGGTTCAATTTCACCTAAAAATATAAATAATTTGTTTCTTTCAATGGTGTTACAAAATCTAGTGGGGTCAATTGACACAACAATAATGTATGTAGCCCATGGCTGCTTCAGTTGATAATAAGGTAACTGTAAATTGTTTGATTTGTTTTTCTATTCTCCCAATATGAAATTAAAATGGTAATGTTAGTCATGATTATCTAGGCTATATTTTTCAAATTGGTTTTGTTTGCAAGAGAATTGATATAATCTACTGAATTGATTGTTCAAATAATTTTGTGCATGTACAAGACTGACTTTGATTATTAATATGAATGTGTTCATGGAGGTCACATGTTTGGGGGCATTTTTGCTTAAGCTATGACGGTTGGAAGCTACTTGCTGACAGTGAACCTATCAGCAATTATGGGATCAACGATGGAGATCAGGTTATGATTTTTCTTTCCTTTGATGTTTTTTCTTACAGGGTTGATCAATCACATATTGAAGCAGGTATTTTTCAACTGATATCTTGTATCATTATATGCAGTTCTGCATCACATAGAAATTTTTATATGCTTTTTTGCATGCATAGCATATTCTTAGACTTGTATTCTGCATCTCTGCTAATATGAATGGTTCTGCTGGAACTCCAAATAATCTTGCTTCTCATATTTCAGTCAATTTTTAGGTAGAATTTTGTTTTCAATTGCTAACACGGTTTGAAACTTAAATTTTGATCTAAAACTACTTTTAGAACCAATTGAGTTTGACAGTTCCATTTTGATCTTATCATGGACATAGTGTGGCCATTTCAATGAAAGAGTCTTCTTCTTTTCTTGCCAATGAGATTGGAAGGTTTTCACCCAAGTTTACATGAATTACCCCTACTTTATCATTTTAATAAATACTTTTAGCATTTTGATCTTAGCATGGACATTAATTCCTCTTCTTTTATGTGTCACCCACGTGTCTTGTCTTGCGTTTTTTGAAAATCATTGTTTCAATATGTGCCTGTCGTGACATGTCTCCATATCCGTGCTTTTTAAGTAAGAGCCTATTTTTAATGCGTTAAAGGTCTTGCTACCTCAAGTTGAACGTCTACTGTCATATTATGCAGCAAGGAATAAACAATATCTAGAGAATTGTAATAAGTTTTAAGAGAACCCTTCTCATATTTTTAAACATTATCAGATTTTAAAATGCAAAGGGGTGTCCTGTTCAATTTATTTATGGAACAATTCAATAATTGAGGTTCAAACTGATATTATTAAAAATAGCCATGTCATTCTTGAAATTAATCACACACACAAAAAAAAAAAAAAAAGAGATAAATGACCAGAGATAATTTAGCTTATCAAAAAACAAACAGCAACAACAATAGTAATAATAGTTATCTAATAATAATAATAACCACCAGAGATACTCTTTAATGGAACCAGCCTAGAGGTGCTAGAGCCATATATGGTCCTCTTTCATACATAAAAATATGTACTTTCAGGGATTCAAGTAGTATAGTTCTGCTTGACCTTTAAGAGAGTTACTTTTTATTTAAGGATTCATGGATATCAACCCCAACATTTCCATTTTATGCATGATGTTTGTTGTTTGCTAGTAGTTATTATGGTATGTGCAGCTTCATTTTGTCCAGCACGTCTCAGTTAACTACAATCTAATAAGGAGCCGACCATCAAAAGATAGATTGTTTGCTTTGGAACAACTCAAGATGTAATGTTCCCTATATGTCCTTCCATTTTGTAGTCACCTATTGTATATGCTGCCAAGTTTACATAAAATTGTAGTCATTAATTATATTTATATAGCATTTCCTTTTTGTTGTTATCTATTAGCCATCAGTATTCTTGTTGGGACTGTAAACAATTATATTGTGACTAATTTCGAGGTCGTGAGTCATCATGCAGATCAGATGCCCGCTTAGAGGTGGAACAGAAAGATGAAAAAGATGACAGCAGTGATGATCAAGAAAATTCACCACCCCAGCATTATGATGGCGGGAGCGAGGATATCATGAGCAGCTATGAATCGAAGTTTTCTCAGTCATTTGGACGGTGGTTCGCATACCGTAGACTGGGGAACCCAACAAGAATACTATCATTTATATTTAAGTCCGTTTGGGCATTAGCAAGAAAGGATATTAATTCAAACATTTTTTTGTTTGAATTAATACCAAACAAACACATCACCACCAGAAGATCAGGTATAAAATGTATCTTTGCATTCTAAGCTAAAATGTATCTTTGCATTCTTTACATTCTAAGTTAAGAGACTTGTGGGAGAAGATGGGACTCAAATCGGGTTCTCGGATTAGGAGTTAGATCCGGATTTAGCACGAAACTTGGCACACACGACCGCCTAGACATGAGAGACTTGTGGGAGAAGACGGGGCTCGAATCGGTTCCCGGTTTGAGAGTTAGAGTCGGATTTCGGTCTAGACAAACTAGTTCCTTAAGAAACTTGAATTCGAGGTATTGACGCCCCAAAATCACCAAACGGCATCGGTTTAGCACGAAACTTGGCATGCACGACCACCTAGGCACGAGAGACTTGCGGGAGAAGACGGGACTCCAATCGGGTTCCCGATTTGTGAGTTAGAGCCGAATTTCACTTTAGGCAAACTAGTTCCTTAAGAAACTTGAATTCGAGGTATTGACGCCCCAAAATCACCAAACGGCATCGGTTTAGCACGAAACTTGGCATGCACGACCACCTAGGCACGAGAGACTTGCGGGAGAAGACGGGACTCCAATCGGGTTCCCGATTTGTGAGTTAGAGCCGAATTTCACTTTAGGCAAACTAGTTCCTTAAGAAACTTGAATTCGAGGTGTTAACGCACCAAATTCACCAAACGACATCGGTTTAGCACGAAACTTGGCACACACGACCACTATTGCAGTATTTCACTTTCATCTATATTCATGAATGAACTTTTGCTATCACCTCATTTTATGTCAATTTTTTATATAGTAGTTAATTTTTTATGTTTTTCTATAATTAAAATATTAACACAATTATATTGTCATTAATTATTTTTATTTTGTTATTTTCAGATATTTCGGGAGTAGCAGTTTGTTTCTTGTGGAATGCAGGCGTGTAAAGATTAAAATATTAACCCACGGAAGAATCATATGATGAAAACTTTTGTTTTTAATTTATGTTATTTAAATTTGTGAACAACATTATGTATATATTATGCGACATTATGTAGTGGCATAATTTTTATTGTTATGAATTTTTATTTATGTATTGTTATGAATGGAACAACATTATGAATTTTCATCATGTGCCAACTTTTGTTTATGTATGTATTTATATTATTATGTAATTATCGATTTTTTTATAGTTATTTTTCATTTAATATAGGTTATTTTCATATTTTTAATAATTTTAATACAGTTTTTTTTTTTTTGAGACGGCAGCACACCCTGTCTCAAAAAGAAAATTGAACAAGGCTTTTTGCGACGGCACCTTTACTGTCGCAAAAGGTAGGGAGTTGATTGAAAAATAAGGCCTTTAGCAACGGTATTTTTTGCCGTCGCAAAAAATCTTTTTAGCGACGGCAACACAGTACCGTCGCAAAAAACTCAGATTTTCATCTGTTATTTATGACAGAAATTTTTGTCATAAAAAAGGCATTTTCCCATCGCAAAAAAAAGGCACGGCGTTATGTCGTCGCTAAAACCCTTTTGCAACCCCCTTTATTGCAACCCCCCACTTGCCGTCGCAAAAAGTCACTTACCGTCGCAAAAAACCTTTTGAGACGACGTTTGGGGTATTTGCGACGACGTTTTACCGTCGCAATTTTTTTTTTTTTTTTTTGTAGTGTATATGCCATGTTCAGCTCTACTTTATCAGTTTAATTAGAATGCTTTTTAATTTCTAGATTTTAGCATAATTTGCATACTTATTTGTTTTAGTATGATTTTATTTTATGAATACGGGTTTAATTCCCAGCCATGAGTTTGTATGTCTTAGATTTTCTAAATTATTATGTAATTTGCATGCTAATTGCTTTCTGATTTTTGGGTAATCTGCCTGCTAATTGCTTTTTAATTTCTAGAATTATTTACATGAGTTCTTTACATGTTAATTGCTCTAGACACTATAGGAAAAATGAGTTTTAACGGCGTTTTTTTGACGACGTTTTTTCAAACGTCACTTTTTGTAATTTTTAACGGTATTTATAAGCGCCGCATATTTTATTTAGCAAAACAGCACCGTTTTATGATTGAAGGCGATTAAAAATGCTTCCAAATGCGGTAGGAACATGCGCTTTCTCCATCCTTCGTTTTTGAGACCCTTGTTTTGAATCTGAGCCCTCTCTCTCTGTCTCTGTCTCTGTAGTGACCCTCATCCCCATCGTAGTCATGTTCATGTGCATTTGCACGTTTTGTTTTGTTCAGCTTGCATTTGTAGTTTTCAACTTGTTTTGCCTTAAGTAAGGTTTCCGTCTTGTTTTGTGCTTATGTAATTTGGCTTGCGTATTGTTTGTGTGTTCCGCCTCTTGCCCGGTGTGTAGCCGAGGTCTTGTTAAGCCTAGGTCACACCTTTGAACCTCTTACACTAAGTACTGTCTTGGAACCACTTTGTTTGACCTCCACCTCCACCCTGACATATTGGCCAAGATGTCATCATCTAGGCCGAGGTGTACTCCACCGAGGCCGAGATATGAATCATCTAAGCCGAGATGTTACCATCCGGACATCCTTGATCCTTGCACCTAGTGGTCTTGTTCTGGACCGGTATAACCTAGGCCGAGATGTGGCACATCTAGGCCAAGGTGTGGCACATTTGGACCACGCGTTATCCATCCCGGCCGAGATCATTGGGACCCCTCTTGCCGAAGCTTTGTCCTTAGCTGAGATCATTACCTGCCGGAGTGCCTATGCCATCTTGCTTGTTGAATACACTTTGTCATAGTCTTGTCTTTTCACTCAGTCACCTTTTTGAGAAGAGCCAACCAGCCGATGCCACGTGTCCCAGCAGAGGGTTAAGTCAGTGAGTTGTTGAGAAACACATCATTTTGTATCATATCCTTGTCTTTTAGAGAGAGAGGCTTTAGGAAGAAGAAGGAAGAGTACTTAGAGAGGGAATAGATTTCCAAGCTTGATCTTCACACCTTGAGCCGTTAGATTCGTGTTTTGAGGTTAGAATCTTGATATACTCTTGTTATTCTTATCGTTCATCTAGCTGCATTGCATGATCGAGCACAATTTGTAAGCCATGCATTGATTTAAAGTTTGATTTTAGAAAGAGAAAGTGATATTCATGTGTTCTTGAATAAAAGCCTTGTTTGATCCGAAAGCTTGCATCAAGAT